TAAAACAATATTCATATTTATTTTTATATTACCTATCAATTAGTATTTTCATTTCCTTATTAAAAAAAAAAAACAAACAACCCGGGATTACCAAACATTAATCTAAATGAACATGGGGCTGTGCTATTTAGTCCATCATTGGAGGATTGGTTATCTTTGCCACTTCAACGACTGAGTGTGGCAAGTCTCCCTGGTTTTCCCTCTTTTTCACCATCATGGCCACCACATCAGTTGTGATAAGCTGAACTTGGACTTTGGCAACCCTGTCTGGAGTGGGGACCTAGATATCTTGTTCCCATGAGAAGATGACTATAGGTCAGTTATCTTACTCTATAAATAGCGGACAGCCCAAGAGCCCTTTGAACTCTCCTGTATGGCAGCGGCTGCACGCCAGGATCTCCCCTTGAGTGAGGACGCTCGCTTCAGGTTCTGCTCCTCAAGGCTGAGAGGTTCCTTGCTGCAACAGATTCTTGATAAGTGACTAATAGCATGCTAAACTGGGAATTATCAGCTAAGCAATATAAAGGATTGATTGCGCAGATACAATCCTTTAGCCATAAACCGTTGACCAAGTCTGGGACTAGGATTGGATCCAGCCGCACCCCGACTCCTCCCCGAGAAGGAGTTTAGAAAGCCAGGGGGTCCTTTCTGAACCTCGTGTCTCAACGGGAGGGTCTCCCCGACAGCTCATCTGACCCTGCCCTCTCTGCAGTAAATAACCAAGTGTACCTTGTCAGCAAATCTCGTAAAACACTGCCACATCATGGCCACCACATCAGTTGTGATAAGCTGAACTTGGACTTTGGCAACCCTGTCTGGAGTGGGGACCTAGATATCTTGTTCCCATGAGAAGATGACTATAGGTCAGTTATCTTACTCTATAAATAGCGGACAGCCCAACAGCCCTTTGAACTCTCCTGTATGGCAGCGGCTGCACGCCAGGATCTCCCCTTGAGTGAGGACGCTCGCTTCAGGTTCTGCTCCTCAAGGCTGAGAGGTTCCTTGCTGCAACAGATTCTTGATAAGTGACTAATAGCATGCTAAACTGGGAATTATCAGCTAAGCAATATAAAGGATTGATTGCGCAGATACAATCTTTTAGCCATAAACCGTTGACCAAGTCTGGGACTAGGACTGGATCCAGCCGCACCCGGACTCCTCCCTGAGAAGGAGTTTAGAAAGCCAGGGGGTCCTTTCTGAACCTCGTGTCTCAACGGGAGGGTCTCCCCGACAGCTCATCTGACCCTGCCCTCTCTGCAGTAAATAACCAAGTGTACCTTGTCAGCAAATCTCGTAAAACACTGCCACATTTACTACTAATTTTTTTAAATCACTGTTTCACCTTAATAAATATTTCCTTACTTCCCTCTTAGGAGTGAAGTCAATCACTCCACCCATGACACTGAGTAAGGCAACATTTCAGGTAACTACGCCAATAGTCTAATTTTACTTTCCGCTCAAACAATGTCAATAGAAATAGAAAACCAAAAATTCCAATTCTATATGGTAATCTTGATGGTATTTTCTAAGCGTTTTCAAGTCTCCATCAAGCCAATTAATTTTTTAATATGCATTAAAGCCAACACTGTCCACTTAATAACATAGCAAAATTCTAGAGAACATGGCCCCAATCAGCACAGGGTATCCGTTTAGTTTAAATAAGGCCATAATTTGAAGTCACATATTTAGTCAATGAATCATAGTGAAGCTAAAAAGGGAAAGCTACCATTACAGCAAATCTGTTGAGGATGAACTTCATAATATTCCAGTTCTTCACATTTTCATGTATTTCCAGTGCTACGTTCCTCAGACTGAAAGATTCAAGCTTCTTCCATTTTTCATCAAGTAATTTTCAACACAAAAGTAGAAACATATCACAAGTACTTAATATCTAATATTCTCGAGTATCAAAATCACCAATGACCATCCCCAAAAAAGATCCCTCTGTCTGATCAAATTGAAAAAAATTAGCAATTTCAAAAATAGTCCACTATTACTTATCCTTGATTTCCAAAGCAAGGACTTTCCAGCAAAATAGGATACAGAAACACTCTAAACTTTCCACAATTAACTGTGCATCACAGGTAAGGCAAAGGCCTCAACCCCTGTCTTACCTCACGTCATAGGGACATACAGTTGCTGTTAAACATAATTAATTTTAATATTTTCCAGTATTCCAGATATTTGTAGATTACCGAAAATTGCTTTGTATTCTGGTAACACTTCAATTCCACAATTAACTGTGCATCACAGGTAAGGTAAAGGCCTCAACCCCTGTCTTACCTCATATCATAGGGACATACAGTTGCTGTTAGTTAGGGATAACTAATTTTAATATTTTCCAATATTCCAGATATTTGTAGATTACCTGAAAATTGCTTTGCATTCTAGTAACACTTCAGTATTTTTCTTGGTCACAAAAAGTTCTGCTGGACTAAGCAACTTTAGATCCTTGGTTTTCTTTAATGAAAAGCTCTTGTTTTTTTCTGCTCCAAAAGGAGTAGTTCCGAATGGAGCATGCAAATTTACAACACATTTGCTACTACTCTATGTAATGAACCCTGGCAGAGAAGTTACTGCCACAGACTGCCTAACAAAGGAGAAGCTGGCCAGCAATGCAAGTAATGCAACGTAATACAGGAAAAAGTCAAAAAAATTACCTTCATTACAGGCAGTTCCCTCTCAGTTACCTTCTCTCTGCTCCCTACAGCCCTGATCCAAATCTACGCCCTCAAACCACCTAAGATGCAGACCTCTACTTCCTCTTAATGACTCAGACGCACAATTAAACCTGAAGACAAGGATACCTTATCAGTCTTACAGCGATATTAAAGGTCTATAGCATGCTATTACCTTAGAAAAAGTGTGATGTCAGAGTTAGAGATGTACGCTTGAGTATGATTCAGAGGAAATGGAAAAGTGGCCTTGTTGACAAAACAAGGAATGAAGGCAAAAAACCCGAGAATATAAGCTAAAAAACCCTTTACATATGATTCTACCACCTTTTGTAGTTTTCTTAATTTTATCCTTAACAGCACTGCAGCTGTCAGTGAAGGGAGTAAAAATCTTATTTGTTTAACGCTGCATTTACACTGAAATTTTCTTAAGAAACTCCAAGTTGAACTTTTGTGTGAATTAAGAAAAAAGAGGGGTTCATCAGCAGAACACAGACAGGTCAAAAAAACCTTTTAAAACACTTTTCTTGTTAAATGTTGCTGGTCTTTAAAGGAAGAGCTTATTTTTCTAGGATCTGCATTGAGTTTCATTTGGTAATCAGATACAAACAACACAATAAAGCCTAGATAAAAGCAACTCTACAAGCCACATTTCAGTCACTTGATACATCAAGAAAACATGATAAAGCAGAGACAAAACTTCTGAATTTTCATTTTCTGAAGCAAATACACTCCTAGTCCTTTCAGAAGGCAGATAATCTGTTAAAATAACCATTTCTTGAAGAAAACAAATCCTTACGAGCATCTCAGGCTTTATTTCTCCTTGGTATTAGAATAAGCAGGTCTTGATTCTTAGAAGTGTGATTAATAAACACTTTCAGCCTTCAAATTCACAAAAAAGTACTGAACCACAGACTTTCTGTTGAATCAGTTTTGCACTCTTTTCCGTGGCTGCTGAGATACCTAATACCATTGCATCCTTCTGGAATTTTTCCTTTTTAAATGCCTAAGATATGCGAATGATGGTATTTGACCATCTAGCTAAGGAAAGGCCATATTTAGCCTAGGCAACACTGAACGACGTGCACATGAGTCAAAACAGTTATTCATACCCAGGATTATTCAAGAGGTCTAACGCTTGAATCATTATTTGTCAGAAAACTCAGTCTGTACAAAGCATTACTTTCTAGGTGAACCTCATTTAAATTTTTCATCAGCTGCATTTACTCTTCCTAAATTATTTAGTTCTATAACCGTTTTAGGTTCCACAGAAAAACACAGACTTATGAGTCTTCCTACTCTGATTAGACTCCACAGAAAAACACAGACTTATGAGTCTTCCCACTCTGATTAAACTGTCTATGTGCACAGACAGCTGCCCTCTCACTGCACATACTACAACATTCAACCACTGAAAAAGCTTTTTGTTGAGACAAACCTTCAAATATGGCAAAACAAAACAAAACAAAAAACAAACAAAAAACAAACAAACCTCAAACAACCCAAACTGTACAGTTCTACAAAAACAGTTCCATCACATTACTGCAGTAACTCCTGACTTTTATGCCAATAAGTAAACACAAATGATTAAGGAAAGGCTTTTAGACGCATCATTGTGAAAAGCACAGACTGTTACTGGACTTAAAATGTAGAGCAGGTAAAGAACCTCATTGTTAGTTCAAAGACTAAAATAATCAAGATTAACTCATTTCTAAAGAAAGCCACAATGAATCTTGAAGCTAATATGAATATACATACGCGTCAGAAGTTCCCCATAATGCTTCCCCTGTATTATATGGATTTGTTCCTGACAAGATTCCAAGTTAAAGACACCAAAGGCTTCCTAAAACTTGATGGGTGTGACACCAGCATACTAAACAGGAACACAGGCTTACCTCACACTGTTACTTTAGGGCAAGTACTTCAGTTAGGTATTCCAGCTAACAGACCTGAAATCAGAGAGCTTCTAATTACCCATGACAAACTCTTATTTGCAAACAGCTAGGTAGACAAACCGATACCGATCCACCTCTAGGAGTAATGTGGGAGGATGCTGATGACATCTTTGAAAGGCTAATTGCATTTGCCAGAAGCCTGAGATCATCTCCAGCCCTTTGCTATACTGCCACCCATTTCCAGAAGGTGAAATCAAAGAATACTGAACTCATTTGCATCCAAAGTACTTCTCACTTTTCACAAACAGAACTTGCAAACAAAGCTGGGTAAGAGTTTTGCCAAAATACTTACAGAGTAATAGAAAATAAGGCTGGAAATTTTACTGGGAAGTCATCTTACATCAGGATTACACATACCTATGTCAACAGTATGGTCACAACAGTCATGAATGAGGACAGTACTTTGCTACTTTTAGCCTACGAACAAGTAACAAAAAGACGTTTCCAGATTGCAAAAGTTTTACTTTCCAGAGATTGCAAAACCAAACTTACCAAAAAGACCCAGCACTACCAACAGCTAGAGGCATCTATCAACTAGGCAATGATGGTCACCATGATAAAAGCACGCCCTCAGCACGGCAGCAGCACTGATACTGTCAAGAGCTGCTCAAAAATAAAACAAAGAAACAAAAGAACCCAGCGAGCTTCAACGATTTTTTTTGAGAGATGCCGAGATATTAGTACGAAAGGTTACAGGCTGTTCATACCGAGAGCTAAAGACATCATGTGAAAAAGAAGGCGGCTGCGTGGTTGTAAGAGCAGAAAGCAGGAGATGAAAGTTAAAACACCGTGCCCTGATCAAGATCTTCCCCCCGCACATCGCCCCAGAGACGGGAGGCGCAGCCGGGCGGCGAGGCATGTTCCTTCCCTGGGGGCACGTCCAGCTCTTCGGGCACATCCTACACAAAACCAGTCAGCACCAAGCCATCTGCCACCGAGTCTCTTCCCAGCCCAGGCAACCGCCTCAAAGCCAGGCACACAGGGCTCCAGCCCCCAAGGGGCGACCCCCGGGCCCCTCAGGGAAGCGGCGGAGCCCTTCGGCTCCCGCCCGCCGGACGTTTCCCCCTCAGAACCCCCGGGCCCGTCGGACACTTTCCCCTCACAGAACCGCCGGGCCCGTCGGACACTCTCCCCTCAGGACCCCCGGGCCCGTCGGACACTCTCCCCTCAGGACCCCCGGGCCCGTCGGACACTCTCCCCTCAGGACCCCCAGGCCTGTCGGACACTCTCCCCTCAGGACCCCCGGGCCCGTCGGACGTTTCTCCCTCAGAACCCCCGGGCCCGTCGGACACTTTCCCCTCAGAATCCCGCCGCCCGTCGGACACTTTCCCCTCACAGAACCCCGCCGCCCGCCACACCGGCCGCAGGGCTCAGCGGTCTGTACGACCCGGTCCTCCTCAGGCGCCGCCGCCGCCACTACCACCACAGAATTCGGTCGCCCAGAGAGAAGAGGAAGGAAGGGAGAAAATAACAGAGGAGAACGGGCGCCCACCGGGGGTACGGAACGCCGTTTACCTCAGCCGGTGGGTGAAGCGCTGGCGACCAGCACCGCCGCCCGCCACAGGCCCCGCCGAGGCGCCGCTCGCCACTTCCGGGTAGGGGGAGGCAGGGCGGCGCCCATTCAGCGCCGCGCGCGCACTGCGCATGCGCTGTCCCCCCCCCCTCACACACACACAGCGCCCGCCTCACCGCGGGTACTCACAGAATCACAGAAGGGACCTTAAAGATCATCTTGTCCAGCCGTCAACCTAACTTTGACAAAAATAGACACCCACACAACAAACAAGGAGCATCACCATCACTAAACCAGACCTCCCAGCACTACATCAACCCGTCTTTTGAACACCTCCAGGGATGGGGCCTCAACCACCTCCCTGGGCAGCCCATTCCAATGGCTGAGAATCCTTTCGGTGAAAAAATTTTTCCTAATATCCGGCCTGAACCTCCCCTGGCGCAACTTGAGGCCATTTCCTCTTGTCCTGTCGCCTGTGACTTGAGAGAAGAGACCGACCCCCATCTCTCTACACCCTCCTTTCAGGTAGTTGTAGAGAGCGATAAGGTCTCCCCTCAGCCTCCTCTTCTCGAGGCTGAATAACCCCAGTTCCCTCAGCCTCTCCTCTTCTACTCGTTGGGAGCCAAGTGCTCCCTGAGGCGGGACCCGGCGGCGAGTGAGCGGGAGTGGGTGGATTCGTGTCAAAACCAAAGAACCCCTGTGGGAGCATCACCTCAGGGCGCAGGGGCAGCCTCCAGCTGTTTGTCATGGCCTTGGGGCAGGACGTCCCCAGCGTTGCCTTTTTGGGGGTTCACCGGCTTGTCCTGGTTTGAGTGACACAAATCACAGTAATTTCACCTCTCACCCGAGGTCTCTTCTAGCGCTTGGGCAAAGTACACTTTTAGAAGACTGTTGTGTCTGAATCGGTGAAAATATTTACTTTATAGGCAGCTGTGGTATGTGGGTTTTAGGCTCTTGGTGTTTTCAAGCTCCCCAGGTGCGGGGTGAGGAGGAGCGAAACCCAGGCACTTGACCCAAGCTGACCAAGGCGGGGTGAGGAGGAGCGAAACCCAGGCACTTGACCGAAGCTGACCAAGGGGATTATTTCATACCGTGAATGTCACATTCAATATAAATTAGAAAGTTTGCTGAGGAGTTCCTTGATGGCCACAATCCTGAGAACTTCTTGCCTTGGTGCTGGACCCCTGAGCCCTTCCCTTCCTTCCTCAGCCATAGAGCTTGCAGGGTCCCACATCGGCTGTCCCTGCTGGGGGCCTGCAGCCTTCTGCTGAGGGAATGGGCTGAGTATAATCCGCCTATATTTTATAGGAATAGTGTGGTGAGCAGGACTAGGGAAGTGATTGACCCCCTGTCCTTGGCACTGGTGGGGCCCCACCTCGAATACTGTGTTCAGTGTTGGGCTCCTCACAACAGGAGGGACATTGAGGGGCTGGAGTGGGTCCGGAGAAGGACAACGGAGCTGGTGAGGGGTCTGGAGCACAAGTCTTGTGAGGAGAGGCTGAGGGAGCTGGGGGTGTTCAGCCTGGAGAAAAGGAGGCTGAGGGGAGACCTTCTCACTCTCTCCAACTCCCTGAAAGGAGGGTGTAGCCAGGGGGGGTTGGTCTCTTCTCCCAAGGAATGGACGATGGGACAAGAGGAAACAAGGGTGTGCCGGGGGAGGTTTAGGATGGATGTGAGGAAAAATTTCTTAACTGAAAGGGTTGTCAAGCCTTGGAAGAGGCTGCGCAGGGAAGGGATGGAGTCGCCATCCCTGGAGGTATCTAAAAGCCGGGCAGACGTGGTGCTGAGGGGTATGGGTTAGTGGTGGTTTTGGCAGTGTTGGGTTGATGGTTGGGCTCGATGGTCGTGAAGGTCCCTTCTAACCCAGACGATTCTATGATTCTGTATTGGTATCGATATAGGTTCTTTAGTATTATTAACGTTAATTACGCGGTCTTATTCTATTCAATCTGTTTCTATTTCAACCCTCGGGTTTCCTTGGTTTTTCCCCCAGTTTCCGCGGGTGGGGAGGGGTCACCGGGTAACAGCGGCAGTGTTGGGTTGATGGTTGGGCTCGATGGTCGTGAAGGTCCCTTCTAACCCAGACGATTCTATGATTCTGTATTGGTATCGATATAGGTTCTTTAGTATTATTAACGTTAATTACGTGGTCTTATTCTATTCAATCTGTTTCTATTTCAACCCTCGGGTTTCCTTGGTTTTTCCCCCAGTTTCCGCGGGTGGGGAGGGGTCACCGGGTAACAGCCATTGTCCGTCCCTCGTTCCTCACTCGGTGCCGGGAGGGGGCGCCATTCCCGGTGTGCCGGAGGGGGCCGGCGGTGGCGCTTCGTCCTATTCCTCCGGAGCACTAGGGGGCGCTCTGCTCCGCTGCAGCGGGGCCGGGGGGCGGGCGGGGCGGGGCTGCGCCTGCGCCTGCGCGGCGGTTCGAACGGGATGGCGGCTGAGGCGGCGGCTGAGGCAGCGGGAGGGTGAGAAGACAGACGGCAAAATGGTGTGTCCGTCCCTTCCTTCCGCTTCTTTTCTCACCTGTTGTCATCTTTTTGTCTCTCTTTGCAGAAAGCCGGA